GTTAACGAAAATCCATAAAATTTTACAATTTAAACAAGCAGCCTGGCTGAAACCCTACATCGAGTTGAATACTCGATGTAGAGCTGCAGCCCGGAATGATTTCGAAAAAAATCTTTTTAAATTAATGAATAATGCAGTATTCGGTAAGACCATGGAAAATATACGTAAGCACCGCGTATGTAAAATCGTTAAATCTTGGGGTGGTCGCTATGGGGCAGCAAACTTGATTTCGAGTTTTCGGTTCCACAGTCGCACAATTTTAGAGGAAAATCTGGTGGTTATCGAATTGAACAAGGCTGAAATAACGTTTAACAAACCTCTGTATGTAGGGCAGGCAATTCTAGACCTATCGAAACTAGTCATGTACGATTTTCATTACACCTATATGCTACCAAAAATGGGTGCAGAAAGGTGTAAGCTCATGTACATGGACACAGACAGTTTTATCTACGAATTGCAATGTGAGGATGCATATGAGGAGATCATTAAAGCTGATTCCAGTAAATTTGATACTTCGGATTATCCTGAAAATAACATATATAAAATACTGCGTAAGAACAAAAGGTGCCGGGTCTAATGAAAGATGAAAATAACGGTAAAATTATGACACATTTTGTTGGACTTCGAAGCAAAATGTATAGTTACAAGGTGCAGGGTGGGAAGGTGGTTAAAAAATCTAAAGGGGTTAAGTACAATGTTGTTAAAAATAAAATTGCATTTGAGGATTATGTTGAATGTTTGAAAGAATTTAAGGAAAAAACAGCTACACAACGCTGTATCAGGTCGTATGCACACAACGTATATTCTGTTGAACAGTCAAAAATTAGTTTAAGTCCGTATGACGACAAACGTTATTTAATTCCGAACAGTTTTGACACACTTCCGTGGGGGCATTACAGTATCTTATAATAGCGTTTTTTTTTGTTATAGATGAATGCCCCAACATTATCAGAGTTACCTGTTAGAAAAATTTGCGAATCAATAACATCATCAGCAGTAGAATTCATGGAGCAGTCTCCACTACCATGGAAATTAACTACGGAAATTGTGAAACAATTTCCTTTATATAAATGGCACGCTATGATTAAAGAAGCCAAAAATGATCTTGATTCTTCATATACAGGAATTAACTTTATTAGATGTCACAAAGAAATAGATCCAAATTTAATTCACACTATATTAGGAAAATCAGATTGGGGTTATGTTTTTGAAGATTATTCTAGTTACTGTCTATGGACAAGTGGATATTGGCTGGACCAATATTACCTACACGTATGTAAAAATTGTTTATCTAAATTTAAAGAAATACATAAAACTTTAAATAAACGTTATTTGCCTGCTATGACCATTCTCACGAGGTTCACGATGCACATGACATTATTTTGAACGTATACCAAAAAAAGTATAATTGGTGTCACAGCTGCTTTAAAAGCGTAGTGTTTGAACTAAAAGACCAGGAATCTTGCAGAGATGCCTTACATGATAGGTCTAGAAATAACATCCGAATCCGATTTGATGAATCTGATGTAGACAGCGATATTGAGTTTAAAAAAACATCACAGCAAACAAATTACAAAAAAATATATAAAAAGCGTTCATCCGTCCTCCAGTTTCTCTCTATCTATTGTACTAACATTTATATATATATTTTTTTTCAAACATGTATGTAGTACTAACATTTATATATATATATATATATTTTTTTCAAACATGTATGTAATTAGATTTAATAAATGAATATTTATAAAAAAATGTTTTATTGATTTCGTTAGATTTTTCTAGTAAGAAGAGTTCACAACAACAACAACAAGATGTCCTGATAGCTTGAGTCGTCAGAGGTGTGCAACATCAGAAGCAATGTTAGTGCGTGGTTGGAGTTCAAAACTTAGCGTGTTCAAAAACAAAAAAAAAACACGCACACACATAATACTAACATTACTTCTGATGTTGTGGCGCGGTTCTTCGGGCTATCAAGACATCTTTTTGGTATTTTTGAACAAAGTGTGCACGTCACGTGCGTCACGTATCACGTCACGTGCGTCACGTATCACGTCACGTGCGTCACGTATCACGTCACGTGTCACGTCACGTGTCACGTCACGTGCGTCACGTGTCACGTCACGTACGTCACGTGTCACGTCACGTCACGTGTCACGTCACGTCACGTGTCACGTTACGTGACGTATATCATAATGAAACGACAGATATGCATTTTTACAAAAACTTTATTAAAATCGTTCAAGATCATTAGCGATCCTATGTCTATAGAAAAATATATGTTGTCCTAACGCTATATGTTGTAAAGTACAGCCTACGAGCTTAAATGTATACAATTTTTGAATAGCATCTGAAAACGTATAATTTTGATCATTAAAACTAGCTCGAACAATCTTAAGCGCATTATAATAATAGCTTGGAAATTCAACAGTTTCTAGCATAGACATATACGGTACTAAAAGTTCATTATTTGCTTCTAAAAGAGCGTTCACGTCCATTTCTGAGAGGTAGAAACTAATGTTGTGCTTGGTTATTTCGAGAATTTTCGTACTATCATAGATTAGTCGTCGAATTCTGCAATAGTCACCGCACTCGATTTCGACAGGATCATACTTGTCAGGAAGGTTCTTCTCCTCCTCCTGCTCCTCCGTCTCCTTTACCGTTACCACATTGAGCTGGGTGATTAATTGTTCCCACTCATAGGAACTGAAAGATAGTTTCAACCGTGATGAGTTCCACACAATTACAGCAGGAGTAAATGATCTCGCTGGGCTTAGACCGCATCCAATTTGGTATGATCCATTTGGAAACTGCGTGTACAGCAGATAATGGTCCTCGTTCTTGGCCGCTTCTTCGTACCTTTCCAGAATAGCATCCAGCTCACGGTCGTAGTTTACAGATGATTCGTGTGAGCTGCTGGTGGTGAGGTCAAACTCGCTGCAACTTGAACCACTACCACTGGTATCCATTTTTTTTTACTAGCTGCCTGACTGACTGACTGACTGACTGCAACCGACTGAGAACTCACTTTTAGCAGAAACCCCCCACCCCATACACCTAGACGATCGCATCATTGTCAATCCAACTATTATGTTTTGCATCAAGGCCAAGCCATTTGACGTACATTTTTTTACCTTTACGACGTAAAACTTTTTCAACTAAATAAACATCTGGATTGGCTGTTTTCTGTAATTCTTCGTCATAAAAGGCTCCTTTGATCGGTGCACCTTGCATATCTTCGAGCATGTACGTTGCAGGGTTGGTAATATTAATTTTAGTAACTTTAAATAATTCCGTTGTCCAGCTTGGAACGTATCCCTTGTCGAATAGCATTTTGGTTTTGCTGATGC